GGGTGGACATGAAAATTTAACGGCTCTGTATCTCTAAAGGCTGAAAAAATCAGGCTGCTCCGGGTGGTTTTTATTCTTCCGTCTCGTACACCACTGATTTTAGAGTTTTAAATGTTTAAAGAGCTGCTCCCCACGCTGGGAGCTGCGGCAGGGACCCTTGATTTGATGCTTGGGGGGAGGATAGAGATTTAATACCTTTTTTTTGAGGTGGGTTGTTTGGGTTTTTTTTCCACGTGGGGCTTGGCTGTAAGGCAGGAGTCCATGTCCACTCAGCTTGGCAATAAACCTTCCTTTCTTCTTCAGAATGAGAGAATAGCGCCGGTCCAACAGTAAATAAAGGTTATAATACCCAATATAAACATTCATTGGCGTCCTACACCCACATGTCTGCACGTTGCCTGGTTACAAGTAGAAAAGGCTAGTGGCTTATTTATCTAGGAAATATGTCCTGGGTATAACCTCATGTCTGAATTTAAACCAGTGTAATTCACTCCGAGCAAACAACAGGATAGGTGATCTCAGTGTGATTTGTCTCCTTGCCCCCTGTAATTTTCCAGCTCACCCCGAATAAACCTTATTTCCAACGACTGGAGCCTCCAAATGAGGAGTTTCCGCTGGGCTGACAACATCGGTGAATAACCTGCCAATGATTTAATTGCGGTGGGTGGCTATTTTTGAGCTCGTAAGCCAAGCTGAGGGCAGTTGTTCTTGTCTATTCTCGGGCCCCGACTGCTTTTCTGGACCGGAGCATCTTCTCCCATCCCCGCTGCCGGGGAGGCGGGGGAGCTGAGCCAGATGGGCTGTCTGTCGGCGATGCTGCAAGGTGAGGCAATGAACTTGGAAGGCCGTCTGTGTCTCTGACTCCCCTTTTCCACTCTCTCCTGCTGGGTTTTGATCCGTGCTTGCTGCGTCCGACCCCATTTTGCACCTCTTCCTTTGGTCCTTGTGAAATCGGGCCCTTCTTGCTTCTTCAGGATGCCTCGAGGTGACATCTGGTCCTCTCTCCACGGAGTGACCTCCAGGCTGGGATGCCCCAACATGACATCCAACCTGTCCATTGAACCTGAGCCAAAGAAACGCTTTCCCAATAGATGGGCAACTTTCCTCACAGTAACCACTGAGCTGAGCTTAGCAATTTCCCCCTAAAATCCAAGCCTGGGCTCCAAAGAGGGTGCGCAGTGTTGAGTGATTCACGGTACCACATTTATGCTGGATCTATTCTTTGCATCCCAAGGCATTTCCATGCAGCCGAGGACCTGTGAACTTTGAGGAGTTAACAGCATTAGTTTGCTTTTTACTGCGTTGACATAAAGTGTCAATATTACCTTGACTTCTTTCAAGAAGCCAATTGGCAGGGTTGTTCATTAGGAAATGGCTCAATAAAAGTGCTTTTTAAAAAAATTTATTGGACCCATAAAAGGAAGTAATATCATGAACAAATGGAACGGTACCAAAAATGACATCCTTAGTGTCCTCGCAAAAACCCATGCGCCGCAAAGCGGCATCTGTAAATCTTGGTGGGAATTCCCAGCAGCTGCTCAATTTGGCCGCCCCAGGTAATCAATATGTGAGGCCGTCACATTAGACGGATTAGTGGGCGTTTGGGGAATGCTTTTCTCTAGCGCTGATGGCCTTTCCCACCTGGCTGCGGGGCGGAAGAGTGAGGCTTGGCATTGCTGTCCATTTATATAGTCTCTCTACGGGCTTAGAAATGGTTTTAAGCACCACCTTGGGCACCGTCTGCCTTCAGCAGATCTCTTGCCTGCCTATAGAAACAACTCTTTTGCTGCCAAGAGAGGTGTGTGACTCCATCCCCTGAGATGGAGATGCTCAGCACCGGCAGTGGTGCAAGGCTGAATAAGGACAAGAGCAGAAAACCCTGGTCCCTGCTGCCTCATCACTCCGAAACATCTGCCAGCTGCTCGGAGGTGGGCATGGGGGCATTTGGACCACCTCGGGAATGGTCACGGGCGATGCAGAAACTCAAAGCCTGCAGAAAGTGGGGGTGGTGGAGATGTCAGGATGACATTTTCTTGGCCATGTGGGTCTGTGGAGGGGGATCAGCATGAAGTCATGGTCGGGGATGGAGGGACTGGCAGCTCCCCGCTGACCCTCTCCAGCATGCGTTGCTTTGCTTATCTCCATCAGACTCAGCCATTCGAGCTTCGCAGTCCCAGGATTTTCCATATGTCATCCCAAAGAAATCCTTCTCATGCTTAATATCCTTTTTTTTTTTTTTTTTTTTTTTTTTTTGTCTCTCATTTCAAGGCTTTTATTGGTTTGTCTTCTTGTCAAACTAAACACGAGCTGCACGGCCAGAGGTATTTATCAGAAGTGCAGGGCTTTTCTTCCAGGCGGAAAACCCCAAGGTTGGAAATCTTAAGTCAGAAAAAGCACAAGCAATTACCTTGGATGGGCCACATTTGATATGTCATCGCTTGGCTGGAAACACCGCACTTATTTACACGTGCCTTGAGAAGAGGAAAGAGCGATGCCCTTATTGTCCATTCATCTCGGCTCCGCTCCTCGCCTGGTTTGATGAGCTTTGCGGGCGTTCGCTGATAAATCTTTGATTCCGGGGATCCAAGGTCATGCTCTGCTTCTCGCTGTGCGAAGAGTAAAACATCACCCAGGACACACGTACGTGAATGCAATCGCTTACATTTCTTAGCTGATAGGGGTTGGGAAGGACACTTTTATTGCATTTCTCTATTTTCTCAGCTTGAATGAAGCCAGTGTTGGAGAGAGTGGTTTTCCCCAGGCAGTGAGTGCTCGGGAAGGGTGGAAGGACCCTCTCGAGGTTTGTGGAGCTCCCAGAGAGGGGGCATTTCCTTGTGACCAGCTCAGCAGGCGGCCCAGAGAGGAGGCACAGGCCACGAGTTATTCTTCTTCCTTCCATGCAATGGCAGCAACGTGCCCGGGCTTTCCCCACAGCCTTGACCTTGGGGTGCAGGATGCCCTGCAGCAGCCTTCTGGGACAAGGGGGAGCCTCAAGCTCACCTGCCCCCAGCCCTTTTTACCCCAACCCCTTTTTTTTCCACCCAGAGCATCCATAGGTGGCTCCTTCTTTGTCTTCTGGGATCTTTGCAGAGAGGGTGAAGATACTCCACGTTGTCAGCATACATTGGAGATGGTTACCCCTTGCTTCGTCTTAAACTTGCCTTCCCCAGGAGGTGTGACTGTGCCATTCCTGTGTCCACCTCGTTGCGGTGGGAGCCGCTCTCCTTCCACGCAGGCTGCACACCGTGGTCCATGCTGGAGATGCAACTCCTCAACGAGAGCCATCCAATGCAGGCATCTCCTAGATGATGCTCCTTCTCATTATTGCAACCAGAGACCCAGAGCACTGGGGCAGGTTGTCCATCCAGCTTCACCCTCTTGGTGAGGTGGACGTCTTGTCCCTCTCTGCCAGATCTTTGGGCCTACCTGCTCCTGCTGGTGGGGGATAAGCGAGTCCCAAGCACTGAAGCAGGGAAAGGATGGGATGAGGAGTGAGAACGTGCTGCTTAACCAAGCTGGAGAGCATTAAATGATAATGGAGACATGTTTGTGTAGCGGCTGCATATGGGCTTGCTCCCTTCAGCAGTTTCCCATTAATAAGTCTTTGTGAATGTTCCCAGGCATATAAACTTTAAATAGATAGCTTGTCAGCTGGGAACTGAGCCTTTCATAGATCTCTTTGATGGAACAGTTTTTAAGAACAAAACTGGGGACGGGGAGGGAGGGTTTGCAGCCCTCCATCCATAAAAGATGAATGGGTCGCTGGAAGATGCTGTCAGAGAAGCTAAACAGCTATTTGGACGATGGTGGGTTTGATGCCCAAAGGGGCTCCTCCATCCCAACACCCTTTCCCGCCTCACAAAGTATTCCTGCCTTCAATTTCTTTTAAGGAAGATCTTAGCTCTGTCAAAGAACTTGCCTCCTTCTTTCTCTGCTCGTTTCTGTGGGTCCAACTTTGACCTGCTCCAGCAGAAGACAAGAGCTCCTTGGAAATCCCTTAGAAATTCTTATTTGTGTTTTATTTTTTCCCTTAATATTTCTTGGTCTCTGGGAACCAGAAGACAGGAGAGCACAACGGCTGAGCTGAACTTGCCAGTCAAGTAGTCAAGTCAAGTCAATCTGCCCAGTGATTGCAGACACATAATTTTAGGACATCAGGCGTGGGTCTGAAAGTAGTCTTGGGTGGATGTGAGATGGTTAAAGGTGGAAATAACCACATTTTCACTTTTGGAGGTTTCAGCCAGATGTAGCACGGTGCCCTCATCTTTCTCACGCGTGTCTTGTGGCTGCCGGCTGCTGTGCTGAGGATCGGAGCTCACTGGGCCGCAATTTAGAGGGGTGGCAAGGGAGATCAGAGGGGTGGAACGGCTTGTGTACGAGGAAAGCTTAAATAACCCGGCCCTCATCAGCATAGCGAAGGGATGATGGATGGGGTTGGTGACAGAGGTCTATAAAAACCTGAGCGGCGGCGAAGGGCAAGCAGGGAACGATTACTCTTCTTCACAAGGCAAGAACCAAAAGACATCAGCGGGAAGAAGTTTTAAAACAAAGACAGGGCTTCTTTCCAAAACCCGTTGTTCAGCTCCGTTGTGTTGGCGCAGAGGTGTGGCATCCCAGGCCAGGACTCGGTGGTGACGGGTCCGGCTGGTTTGAAAGGGGATGGATTGATGCCCTCCTATCTTGAAACCAGAGTTTTAGAATTTGTCTCCATCTTTTTTGAACAAATCACGGTGGGTTTTGCTCCCTACGTCTACCCTCGGTTTTTGCTTCACCTCCAGGGGTGAGTGAAGTTTTTCCTGGTGGATGGCTTATGATGGGTTACCTCCTCCTCTGGCTCCAGGAAGGCCTTGCTCAGAGGGTTTGGAAAGGAGCTGAGTTGCAATGCTGAGACCCCAGCTACAGTACCCTGTTGTCCTCTGGGCGAAGGAATCGTTCAAAGAAGGAGGTTAGACCATAAGGGCATGTCGCAGGGAGGTAGAATTCATGGTCCGTGATACTAAATGCCCATCACCACGCTGCGCCAGATGACATGGATACGGAGGTACCCAGGAGATGACGTGGGTCCATCCTGGGGGTTCTCCTGGATGATGGAGGTGGTGTTTGCGGGTACTGGCCGCTCTCGGTTTGTGGCCCCATCTGCCTTCCCATGGTCCTGTGCTAGGCGAGGCTCTCTCATTGCTTTCAGAGCCCTGAGGAATCGAGGCTCATCCTTGTGTTAAATAGAAAACTCTACTTCAGCCTCCAACTCGGGCCTGCTTGGCAAGTCTCCTCCCAGGAGACTTCACCACTTGACCCCTGTGAGTTCCCATCTCCCTGCCTCCGCTTTAAAGAGCATTTCCTCAGTCTGTGTGAGATTGATTTCACTTCTGGTCCTGCCTCCCAAGGTCAGGACCTGTCTGGAAAAGGCTTTACTTTACCTCTGAGTAGTCTTGAAACACAGTAGATATTGGGGGATGGTGTGGCAATCTCCAGAGCTTTTCCTTTCTATGTTAAATAACTGGAAAAGAGCGTTATTTTTTCATTAAAAATTGATTGGGAAGCGGTGAGGATGTAATTAGCTGAGTTCTCCTCCTCCATCAGCTCTCTCCAAAGCTTCTTGGGATCACACTTTTTCTTTTCCTCCTCATTTCACTCTTTCTTAGCCCTTTTGCAACTTGCTTAGGTTTCCCTGGACACCGAGTGGGGCAGATCCTTGCCAGTCTCAGAAGTGAAGACAAAGTAGTCAATACAGGAGATAAGATCTGACCAAGTTACTCCTCAACAAGATGGCTCTGAAAGAGCATTTCTTTGTACCTAGACCTTTCTTCTTTCGTGTGCTGCACCATCTAACATCATTTTAGCTCTCCAGGTGCAAGCCCTGCTCTCTGGGTGGCTTTTCTCTGAGAGCACCGGGGCTACTGGGGCAACTCTCCCGGTCCTAGATGAGAGGATACAGGAGGGATACGGGGACTGTGGGCAGACCTTCCCTTGGGTGACACTTGCCCGAGCATCTCTCTCATGCCATCCTGGGTGTTTGCAGCTGTGTATCTCAGATGACCGGTGGTTCGTTTGGAATAACAAGGGCGGACTAATTAATTTACAGTTGCCTGCAGCTGAACCAGCCGGGCTTTGCAGGCTCCCACCACGTATCCGGGCTCTGCACTGGAGGAGTGAGAGAGACTCTTCCTGACTACATCTATCTGCCTTTTTGGTTGCTTTTCTTTTCTTTGTTTTGCCCCTCTTACCCAAGTGGTGGTGGTTTTCTCCCTATTTTTTTCTTCAGCCACCATCCGGATGTCTGACCCACCACTTCAGCAGGTAGGAGGCCAAGGCACAGACTTTATTTCCAGGAGCAGGCTCTCCATGTGGGGCAGCTCACATTCAGCAGGCATCTGCAAATTCCTTGGGGTGGCTTCTGCTCCTTCACAGTGTCCTTAAGTCCTACCTTCACTCCTAGTTTCCCCTTCAGCCGTCCTTTCCAGATGCCTGCCTTGGAAAACTCTTCTCTTGGAAAGCCCTTTCTCCTCGTCCTTGGGTTCCCTGGGTGCTAGCAACTTGGTGGCCAGATCATGGCAAAGCTTTATTAGCTCTGCCCCCATCACTGACACGGCTTCTGGCTTTCCAGGCAGGAGCTGGTTTGCACCCCACTGCCCTGGTCCCATGGGTCGGCACATTTCTGTAACGGAAAGGGCTGTGAGTGGGTGGGCGAAAGGAGAATTTGGGGCTCTCAAACTCCTCTGCAAACTTTTGCTGAGAAAAATGAGATGGGACATCACTCCCTTGAATTCAAGGACAAGAGAAGGGTGATCTACTCCTACCTTCCGGCAGTTGGAGGATGGCAAGCAGCTCTGCTCTGTTTTCCTCCTCTGTAAAATGCAGGGAAGAGGATGCCTGGCTGCTTGAAAATGCTCTGTAGTGGGCCAGTGGATGGCTTTGCTCTTCTTGAGGCTTTGTTCTTCTTGAGGCTTTGCTCTCCCAAATGATCAGCAGCTGAGGAGTTAAAGTACTGTTTAAAAAACTCCTCAGTTAGACCCCTAAAGATGGGGTAAGTCACCTCCGAGACCTTTGTCAGGCTTATTTCCCCACATGGGTTCATTTTCCCTTTACATCCCAAAGGTTGGTTGTGTGCTGAGGGACCCTACCCCTTCCCCCGCCCCCTCCCAGCTCTGAAATTGCAGTTGAGATGGATTAAGATTTATTCTTTTTAATTAAGATTGGGAGGCTGGAACCCCAGGGTGCACCAGCCTCAGGAAGAAGGACAATTATGCAGCAATTACACAGCCTTGTAATCACATTATACATGGGATGTAGACTGAGATCTACCAAAGCCATTGTAAATGGGTCATCAGCAAACCCAAGAGATGCTAAACGACTCGGGCACCTTTAGTTCCTTGCCTAGGGGCTTAGATTTGGGTTGGAGAGGAGATGCTGGCTGAGAATGCCTCGTCACCTCATACCTCGGTGAACTCCTGTCCCCGTGACCTCACAGCATCCATCGGCACATCTCTGCCCCGCAGGGGTGTGATCCCCTCCCCTCTTCTCCTCTTTGGAGCAGGTGATGCATTGGCATGGCTGCAGAGCTGGGAGGTGGTGAGTGCCTCCTCCCAAACCAACATCTCCCAGCTCATCCCTCCTTCTCCCTGCTGGTACATGGAGCTCCCCAGGTGTGGACAGCCCTCCTGGTCCTTGCCTGTTACTCCACTTGGAGAGGAGTAAAAACTGGGCAAGCCTACACCGTACCTCTTCATAAAACTCCCCCAGATGCTATTTCCAGCCCAGGGGATTTCCTTGGGAGATGAAAGCCCAACTGTTATATACACAAGGTGATTAAAACACGCCATAAAAGTGTTTTGAGGACATGATCTGAAAGATCATTGGCCAAATGTGGCCAAGGTGGCATCACTCGGGGTTTTGGGCATGTTCCAGTTTAGGTTTCCTGGCTTGGAAATAACGCCTTGACCTGATTCACCTGGGTTTTCTGCGCTGTGTTTCTCCAGTCCCAGAGCCCCGAGGTGGCAGAACTGCCACGCGGGTGCTAGTGACGGGGACAGGGTCTCTTTGCCCCCAGGATGGCCAACCTTCTGCTGAATCCCACCCTTTTGTGAGAAAGGAGCAGAAGCGCAAGAAGTGCAAATTCACTCTTGTTTCCCTTCGGTTTGGTGTTGGGTTTAAAAAAAAAAAACAAACAGAGAGTTAATTTCCCGGCTCCCCCTCCCTTCAAAGAGCCGGGCAGCATCATCCGTGGTGTTCCCACGCCCTGCTACCTGCGCAGCCCTTCCTCCAGGACCTGTCTTTGGACCCCAGGAGTCATGTTATTAAGTGTTTCTTCTGCTGGATGCAGAAATTTCAGATTCCGATACCGTTTCCTCTCCTGGTTTTCATCCCTTTAATTCTTCCTCTCTGGTCGTTTCTAATTAGCCATGCTGCGCTCGCCTTTTATCTTCCGCTAAAAGCGGGCTCGGGCTGGAATTAAATGGACGGCTGTAGGCTCGCTGCTGCTTTTTCCCACCGAGGGATTTGGGGTACGGGGTCAATAGGAGCTGTGTCGAAGCCAAGTAGGTTGCTGATGTGGTTTATGAACCTTAGGATGGTGGTAACCCAGGGGAGCTTTTTCCACCCTTGCCCGGCTGACCCCGCTCTCCTCTTGCTTGTAGAGAGCCAAAAAAAGGCCCACCAAGAGGGTGAGGTGGCTCCAGTGGGTCCCCAACCTCACAGGAGGTCCACCTGGGTGGCACGTGAAGGGGAAGCCGCCCCCAGAAAGTTTCCTTTTTCCTCCTCTGTTTTTTTTCCTAGGAGAATGAGAAGTCCTTGAGGACCCAGCGTCCCTTTGCCTAGTGATGCTCTGCGCTTATCCTCATCTGGCATTTCTCGCTCACTAGTTTCTTTTTATTCTTTTCTCGCAGTTTACAAATTAGTCAGCTTTGCCCAGCGAGGGAGAATGGATTCTTATGGTGAAACACCTTTTTTTTTTTATTATTCCCTCCTTTTTTCCTTTTTTTTTTTTTTTTTTTAAAGCCTCTAAAAACAGCTTTTCATCCCCCAGAAAGCAGCCGGGAGAGCTTCGAGATGAACCCAAACACCTTGTCACACTTGCAGAGAGCTGCGAAAACAGTCTGCTTCCCCCCTCGCCGGGTTGGTAGCGAGAAATTTTCCAGTCTGGGCTTAAAGGTCGCGTGTGGAAAGCATCTGGGGAGACTGGGGTTGGCTTGTTGGTGGCGTGGAGGCTGAGGATGGTCCTTTTTGGCAGGGTGGCTTCTTAGACCCATCAGCTCTGGGACCCAGGGGAAGGGGAGGTGGGGGAGAAGATGCTCCTGCCTCCTTGAAAATGGAGGTTTGTTGTCCAAGAGGGGCCACGACGTGGGGTTGATCTTGCAAAAGTGCCGAGCATCTCACCCCATTGCAAGGGGGTGCAGCCGCCGTCCGTGCTCCTGCAGCATCCTGTGAGCCCCCTCCCTTCTTGTGGCACCAGGGAGCACCAGCGCATCTGGGAACAGGCAAATCTGGGCTGAAAACTCCTCTGCTGGTGTCTTTGGGTTTAAATGAACTTGTAAACTGGGGCTGCTTTAGCAGGAAGCCCTGAAACTGCTTGTCCAAGTAGCGTGGCTTGGGACATTGCTACCTTCATGTGGGTCTGTTGGGCCACAAGAGCAGATGATGGCCCCAAAGCCATCCCTGGGGACGTGAATGGGGTGCCCAAGGTGCTGTGTTGTCATCCCCAAGGCCTGGCATCCTCCCTGCAGCCAGAGGCATGGAAATTCCTCATCGGGCAGCTCCCAAGATGAGATGCTTGTGGTCAACAACACTCGGAGGTACGTCTGTCCCTCCATCCTTCACACCCCTCTGGGTTTGAAACAGGGGGGAAAAAAATCGATAAAAAATCCTATTTTGGCCCAAGACTTGGGGTAGCTTTTTAGCCGTGTCCCTCCTTGCAGGCAGAGTTAGGCTGGGCTGTGCAAGATGTAGGGCAACATCCAGCTCTTGCTGGAGACACGGCACAGGGGTTTCTCCGACATCTGCAGCTTCATCAGTAAGTGCCAATGGCAGTGGGGAGGGACCTCACTGCGGCCTTCCAGTCCCTAAAGGGGGCCTACAGGAGAGCTGGGGAGGGACTTTTTACAAGGGCATGTAGTGATGGGACAAGGGGGAATGGCTTCAAACTGGAAGAGAGGAGATTTAGATTAGATATTAGGAAGAAGTTCTTCACTGTGAGGGCGGTGAGACACTGGAACATGTTGTCCAGAGAAGCTGTGGCTGCCCCATCCCTGGAGGTGTTCAAGGCCAGGTTGGACAGGGCTTTGAGCAACCTGGGCTGGTGGGAGGTGTCCCCCTATGGCAGTGGGGTGGAACTTGATGAGATTCAAGGTCCCTTCCAACCTAAACCGTTCTATGACCGTGTGATCCCTGGTGGGGTTACAGTGACTTGAGTTTCAGTGTCCAGCTGGCTGCAGGATGACTAACCCTGTAGACACGCACAGACCTAGCTGCAAGCCTGACCAGCTCCCTAATCTGGCTGGCAACTGGTCCTTGCAGGAAGGATGGGGTCAACACCACCAAAGACCATCTGAAGGTTTTACATTGCCTTAAGCTGCTTTTGAAACCGTGTGCCGGGACCGGGGAGAGAGGCCGCAATGAAATCCTCCCTCCTCTCCATCAGCTGCATCAGGACCGGGGCTATCAATGCTGGATTTTTTACCCAGTTGAGATACTGGGATGGGTGTCTTTGCCCCACGGCGCTGGCAGGGTGAGGGATGGCAACCCACCAGCAGCCACCCATGCTACTCCCTGGCTGGCCCAGCCCCAGCACACGTCGTTATATTTCCAAGCACCTGAAAATCCCCACAGCCATTCCAATTTATGGCGTTTTTCTCCCTCTTTTCTCACCGTGAGCTGCGGCGTTTGACTGCTAGATCTGGCACCCGCTACAGCATCGCCTGGAGCCATCGGCTGTGCAGCAGTGGGTCAAGTGACCCAGAGAGAGGGAATTATATATAGAAAGACAGGAGATAGAGATGTCATTAGAGAGAAGCTGGGAGCAAGGAGAGAACCTCCGGGCCCTTTTTTTTTTTTTTTTCTTATTTTATTGGTGGATGAAAGGCGCGTACTTCAGTGAAGAGTGTTATTATATTCAGATTCCCATTTAGGCTTCTCCAAGTTGTACAACAAAAGGAATACGAAATGATCTTGCAAAATTTATGTTACAAATCAATGTAACCTGCATAAATCAACCCAGCCGAAGCAAGAAGGTAAGATTTGGGGTTTGTTTTGTGGGTTTTTTTGTTTTTTCTTTTTTTTCAAGCACCTTGCTGTGACGAAGTCGCTGCTTTAGAAATGAAAGATGCTGCATCCGGCTGGAGAAGACCTTAGAAAAATGTCATGCATTCAGCCAGATACCTCTCCTTGCTCCCTTTTTTTTTTTTTTTCCATGACTGGATGAAAAAGTAGCTCACTCTCCAACTGTCTGCAAGAAATGAACTGCTTAGAGAGCTGGGGGGGTGGAGGTGAGGCTGTTACACACATTGCTCGGAGCTAAAAGTTCTTGTAGATGTCAGCAAGCGTGCAGGTAAAACTTTGGGGCAGCAGGGATGGTGGGACTCCTGGACCAGGAGAAAATCCTCTGCCAAAATCAGGGTAGGAGAGCTGTCTTGGAGCCCCCTTGAGTCCTCCAGGTAAAGAAATCAGCTTTGCTCTGTCTCAAGCTTGTTTGGCCCGTGAAGTTGTTTCTTTTTCCCAAAGGTGTTTATGTGTGCGGGGTGCGATGGTGGGAAGCAGCCTGGTATGAACGTGCTGCTCCAAATGTCCAAAGTGAGCAGGTGTCTCTTCCTCCAGGCTCGGACCTGCAGAGACTGCACGTGAGATGAGGCCAAAGAGTGGTGGACAAGAAGCAGCTGGAGAAGATCCTCCTGCTGTGCAACGTAGAGGCTGGAGAGCGGGCAGGGGGGCAGCAGGTCCCATGTGGCCCTGAGGGGCTTTTACAGGGAGGACCTTTCCCACTGGCATCCAGCAGTGCCAATCTCATCTCTGCCCTCCAGTATAACGAACATGATGACCTCTTTCTCTTGGCAGAGTAGCAGCAAGGCTTTTGTGAGATGCTCCAGCTCTTCCATCTCCTGGTCGAGAGGGAACATGAGGTCTATTGGCTCTTCCAGTTCTTCCTCCAGAAAACAGTAAGTTTCTGGGTGTTTCTTCCTTGGATCAAACAGCCCAGGTGGTAAAAGTCCAAAATTGCTTCTGGCCTGGTGTCCTCCCACCCTGGGGGAAACAGCCACCTACAGCCTTCAGCTCCCCTCTGCATCCCACCAGCCACCTCTCCATGAGTTTGGGGTGGCCCTCATCCAAATTGCCCAGGCAATGCTGATCCCTGCAGAGGATGGAGTCATAATGAAGGGGTTGAATCCTCTACGATCCGGACTTTGGCCTCTGTGGCTATGAACAAGCTGGGCCATGGGACATTTCCCTGCCATGGGTTTCTGCTTTCCATCTCCCCCAGGAGCACAGCTGTGTGATGAACGTAGGTGTGGGGGAGAGCTTCATGTTGAAGACCTCAGTTGCATTTATGGATCCCACCTTTGCGAAACACCTGGGTGAGTCCCAAGCCTCCTCAGCACCTCCACAGATCCAGCTCGAAACACCTCCATAGATCCAGCAGTGTGATTTCGAGAGGGTGCCAGCAAAGGAGAGTAAATATTGGCACAGTGATTGATGTCACCTGCTAAATAGGCTTAGGACATGGGCCAGGTCCACTGAGCAGGGGTTACGCATCTTGGCTCTTCTGAGATGGCTCCGTGGAAGCTCTGGAAGACCTTAGCACTTTGCACTTGCTCTTCTGAATTTATCTCCTTTAGTCTGTGAGTTGCATGAAGAAGGAGCTGAAGCTGCAGGCGTTAAGCTCTCCCAGGCTGTCCTTCCACGAGCCAGCCGTTCTCATGTCCTGATGATGCTGTTAGGGCAGAAAATGTTCCCTCTCCTCCAGTCTGATTTTCTCTGGGTGGGTTGGCTTGGCTTTTACCTCCCATCCCCATGGCTCGCAACTGCTCCTGTTTGCCTTTAAACTACCTCATCTTCTGTGACCTGGGGTTTGCTTTCTTCATCTTTCAGAAGGAAAAGGCCTGCAAGTTGTTCACTCACTGGTCCCCTGGTTTTGCTTCTCCTTCCAGTGCGTGTTCAAGTCCTTTGATGATGTCTGGAGGCTGTGGGAGGTGAGTGCACATTAATGTCCCATCCTTTGCCACCCCTACCTATCCTGCATCTGCCCAGGCACCCCGAGCGTCCTGCATCCCTCTGCCAAGGCACCCCGAGCATCCCGCATCCCGCTGCCCAGGCACCCCGAGCATCCCGCATCCCGCTGCCCAGGCATCCTGAGCATCCTGCATCCCTCTGCCCAGGCACCCCAAGCATCCTGCATCCCAAGCATCCCGCATCTCTCTGCCCGGGCACCCCGAACATCCTGCATCCTTCTGCCCAGGCACCCTGAACATCCCGCATCCCTCTGCCTGGGCACCCTGAGCATCCTGCACCCTGAGCATCCTGCATCCCTCTGCCCGGGCACCCTGAGCATCCTGAATCCCGAGCATCCCGCATCCCTCTGCCCGGGAACCCTGAGCATCCTGCATCCTGAGCATCCTGCATCCCTCTGCCTGGGCACCCTGAGCATCCTGCACCCTGAGCATCCTGCATCCCTCTGCCCGGGCACCCTGAGCATCCTGAATCCCGAGCATCCCGTATCCCTCTGCCCGGGAACCCTGAGCATCCTGCATCCTGAGCATCCTGCATCCCTCTGCCTGGGCACCCTGAGCATCCTGCACCCTGAGCATCCTGCATCCCTCTGTCCAGGCACCCCGAGCATCCTGCATCCCTCTGCTCGGGCACCCTGAGCATCCTGCGTCCTGAGCATCCTGCATCCTGAGCATCCTGCATCCTGAGCATCCTGCATCCTGAGCATCCTGCATCCCTCTGCTCGGGCACCCTGAGCATCCTGCACCCCGAGCATCCTGAGTCCCAAGCATCCTGCATCCCTCTGCCCAGGAACCCTGAGCATCCTGCATCCTGAGCATCCTGCATCCCTCTGCCCGAGCACCCTGAGCATCCTGCATCCCTCTGCCCGGGCACCCTGAGCATCCTGCACCCTGAGCATCCTGCATCCCTCTGCCCGAGCACCCTGAGCATCCTGCATCGCTCTGCCCAGGCAGCCCGAGCATCCTGAATCCCAAGCATCCCGCATCCCTCTGCCCAGGAACCCTGAGCATCCTGCATCCTGAGCATCCTGCATCCCTCTGCCCAGGCACACCGAGCATCCTGCACCCTGAGCATCCCACATCCCTCCAGCCAGCCCCATCCATCCCAGCTCCTGGTCCACGGGAAGGACATCTTTCTCCCTGCAGCTCATCCCTCAGCCCTGCTCCCCGGTGGCTTTGATCATCTCAATTACTATTTGCACAGACTCTCTCCCTGCACTTGCCCACCTCAACAAAACCCGTGCGGTGAATGTTTGTTCTCATTATCCTCCAGCTGATGGGGGATCACCTCTTCCAAGGAATCTGTCACTCAGGAGGTCCCTGAACTGTAAATTGCTGGGGTTTTTTTGAAGGAAAGCATGAAAAAAAGAAAAAGAGAAAAAAAAAACCCCCCAAACACGGGCCTACCCCCCCAGGGTAAAAAAAAAAAAAAAAAAGGAGGGGGAGAAGAAAAAGCCCCTCTCTGTTGAATTGCAAACTCAAGCAAGGACCGAGCTGGGGTCACAGCACAGGGGGATGGGTTGTCTCTGGTTCCTGGCTTTCTTTTTCTCTCCTCTTCCTCCTCCTCCTCCAGTGGGAACATGGTTGACCTGGATGTAGAGGAGCTGATCACAGAATCACAGAATGGTCAGGGTTGGAAGGGACCTCTGGAGATCATCTAGTCCAACCCCCCCACCAGAGCAGGGTCACCTACAGCAGTTGCACAGTTGCACAGCGTCCAGGCAGGTTTGGAATGTCTCCAGAGTGGGAGACTCCACCACCTCTCTGGGCAGCCTGTTCCAGTGCTCCACTACCCTCAAAGTAAAGAAGTTCCTTCTCATGTTAAGATGGAACTTCCTATGTTCAAGTTTATGCCCATTACCCCTCGTCCTATCACTGGGCACCACTGAAAAAAGACTGCTCCCATCCCCCTGGCATCCTCCCTTTAAGTATTTGTAAGTATTAATAAGATCCCCCCTCAATCTTCTTTTCTCTAGACTAAAGAGACCCAAGTCCCTCAGCCTTTCCTCATATGAGAGATGTTCCAATCCCCTCATCATCTTCGTTCCCTTTGCTGGACCCTCTCCTGCAGTTCCCTGTCCTTCTTGAACTGGGGAGCCCAGAACTGGATGCATCTGGGGGGCTCCTTTGAGCCCAGGAGCCCTCCTACTTTTTCTGTTGTCTTGCTAGCACCGAGGATGTGGGGAATGGAGAAATAGTTCCCAAACTGCTACAATTTATCAAATTACCACTTTTTTTAATTTTTTTTTTTTTTTTTACAGATGGGGAAACTGAGGCAAGTGGCCACCATGCGCCTTTCTGTGGAGCGAGGAAGGGTTGGACTTTGTCATCTTCTCAGAAAGGCAAAAACCATGGAAGGGCCATAAATCTCCACGAGGCTTAAAGAAGGAGAAGCAAAAGGCTCCAGCTAGCATGAAGAATTCATTCGTCCTCAGCCCAGGCTGGCAGGTTTAGCAGAAAATCTGCCGATACAGTCAAGGTCCTAATAAGTTTTGGGAGCGTGCAGTGGCTGGTCATACGGAGCCATCACCGCTGACCGGCTTTTATCACTCCAGACGCTTCTGCTGACAACGGAGAGATTTGTTTTGCAAGGGATGCTCCCTGGGCAGGGATCAGGGGAAGGCTGAGCTAATGCTGCCTGACGTACTTCGTTTAGGAGATAAGACGAGGCGGGGAGGAGGAGAGGAACGTTGGGAAAACCTCCAAGGAGGAAAGCCCTCCTGTGCTGGAAAGGGCAACCTGAGGGCATCGGGATGCCGGTGGTACCCAAAGCAGGTCCAGGGCCGACCGGGATGCTAAAAGTAGTGATTCCCAGGCTCTGGCGAGGAAGAGCTGGCAGAGTTGAGGGGGTTTCATTTATTTTGTTGGCCTGGGACATCTTAAAAAGCAGAATGTGATGACGAAGCATAGATGTCCCTCTCCGTCTTCACGAGACATCAAAGCACGTTTACCCCTATGTATTTTAAGCCAAACGTCGTTCTCCAACTGAAACACAAGAGGGTTTTTAAGGCTTCCTATTTTAGATGGAGGGCTCATTCCTTAGGGCAAAAACTGTCTCGCAGAGGGAATTCCTCGCTTGCGGTGGGGGTGAGAAGAGCCGGGGAAGGCTGAGCAATGCAGTCGCGTCAACGCCGGCTTAGCTCGCGCTGCCGCTCCTGTGAAACGAGGGACAAAAGGCGATCCCTGCAGAAATGCCGAGCAAATTGGTGTGTATGTATTTACTCGATGCGTTTCACCCAGTAGCTAAAATCCGGGAAGAACTCAGCTTCGTTTTCCTAAATATCATCGCGGAGGAGGAGGGCTGGCTGTGCCCATTGGAGCATCCCCATCCCGCTCCCCGTCTCGGCTTGGGGGGGGAAATTGGATGCCTGGAGCATCCCTGTCCCCTTTTGCCACCGGCTAACCTGGCAAAACCCCTTCTCCTTCGCAAGCAGATGCCTTTTTGGTGGTGAGAGCAGCCCCAGCAGCAGCAGAAAGGGGAGGATTCATCCTGCTTCGTTTGCTGTAAGGTATGCAGAGGTACCTGCTAACTCCTCGTGACGCTGCCACGGGCGCCAGCTCCTGATTTATCCCAACCGACGGAGGGATTGTTCCGCGATGAATTTGTTAGGATTAATTACACCGCGTCCCTGCTGAGATTTTTTTTTTTTAAACAAGATTACGCTTCCCGAGACTCGCTGCTTCACTTTCTCCTCCTCCTCTTTCCTTTTCCCTTTCAAAGCACGTTACGTGCAGCAGGGTTCGGTTTGGGGGTCGGGTTTTGGGTTGTTTTGGGGTTTTTCTGTGGGTTTTTTTATGGTGGTTTTTTTTTTTTTTTTTCCTCCTGGGATGCTGGTGAGGAAGAACACGCAGCAGCTCCATCATGGGGGATGTCACCCCCGATTGGGGCATCGGGGAATGAGTCCCTGGGGAATCACCCTTCCCTGGGCGATGCTTCACCTCCTGTACTGGGTTGCTTTCCCATGGGCAGCGCTGCCTCTGGTTTCACCAGGAGGGTGGGAAGGTGGAACCCAGTGGAGGTGGTGGTGGGACCCGGTGTGTGGAGCTGGGACTGGCATTTTGGTGGCTCCTTCTCTGCTGCGGAAGCAAATTCCCTCCGCGCTGGGCAGGAGGGGAGGATGCTGCTGGTCCTTTCTCGTCTGGTCCTCGAGATGGATGCTGATCCATCTGTATGCATCTGATGGATGCTGATCCTTCTCGGTGGCCTTGGCCCTGAGCCCCAGGGTTGCACTGGGTTGTTTCGGGTTGTCCCAGTGTCTGTGCTTGCTGACCCACCTCTGAGCAGCCGCTTGCGACTGGGGAGACATCATCATGCCTGGAGAGAAGGCAGCAAAGCCTGAACTGGAGCTGGGGATTTAGGGTGGGGGGAAGATCAAAAACATCTCAGCAGCGGGTTTTTTTTCTCCAGCCCTGAGAGGCATTTAAACGTTCACGCGCCGCGAGTGATTGACTGCGTTCGTGCAGCGCTGCAGAAATAGCTGCCTTGATTTCCCTGGGGCCGCAGCGGCCTGGAGCCCACGTGGCGGTGGGGGGAATACCCGCAGCCGGGGTGGGATGGAAGGGAAGGGGCATCACGGCATGGCTGGGGTTTGGGGTTGGAGAAGGTCATGCTGGTGACTGGTCATGCTGGTCTCTCCAGCATGAGAAGGGGCAGAGGTTGCTCCAGTAAAGCCTCGAGACCCGGCGGGCTCTGCAGCGTGGTTTAATGAGATGCTAGCTACATTTTGGGGTGATTCGCCCCCGATTGAAGGCGTCTCAGCATCCGGACATAGACAGCACCTCTCAGCTGGTAGAAGTGTTATCCCAGGTCTGGGATGCTCCCGGCCCCGCTCCTTGCCAGAAGTTTGCCACTGAAACACAGGCTCTGTACCCGAAAACGTATTTTTTTTCCTCTGTATTACATATTTCCCCCCATTGTACTGGTTATCCAGCTACCCCCGCCCCTCTCTCTGCAAAATTTGCCT